GAGAGAGGAGAGACAGCATGAACAGAGGAGGGTCAGAGAGAGAGGGAGACACAGAATCTGAAGCAGCTCCAGGCTCTGAGCTGTCAGCACAGAGCCCGACGTGGGGCTCGAACCCACGAACTGTGAGATCATGACCTGAGCCGAAGTTGGTCACTTAACCGACTGAGCCACCCAGGCGCCCCTATTATTATTATTATTTTTAATGTTAATTTTTGAGAGAGACTGTGAGTGGGGGAGGGTGGGGAGGAGGTGGACAGAGGATCTGAAGTGGGCTCTGCACTGACAGCAGCAAGCCCGATGCAGGACTCGAACTCACAAACCATGAGATCGTGACCTGAGCTGAAGTAAGATGCTCAACCAACTGAGCAACCCAGGTGCTCCTGTTTTTTAATTTCAAAATGTTTATTTATTTTGAGAGAGAGAGAATTCACACACAAGCGGAGGAGAGAGAGAATCCCCAGCAGTCTCTGCATTGTGAGTGCACGGGGCACAAACCCAGGAACTGTGAGACCATGACCTGAGCCGAAATCAAGAGTTGGATGCTTAACCAACTGAGCCACCCAGGTGCCCCATCTAGGAATTAAAAAAAAAAATCCCTGGAGTTTTTTTTTTTTTTTTTAATGTTTATTTATTTTTGAGAGAGAGAAAGAAAGAGAGCGTATGTGCAGGGGAGGGGATGGTGGGGGACAGAGGATCTGGAGTCGGCTCTGTGCTGATGACAGTGAGCCTGGTATGGGGCTTGAACTCATGAGCTGTGAGATCATGACCTGAGCTGAAGTTGGATGCTTAACCAGCTGAGCCCCCCAGGCGCCCCAAGTTTCTTTTTTTCTTTCTTTCTTTCTTTCTTTCTTTCTTTCTTTCTTTCTTTCTTTCTTTCTTTCTAAATATAGATAATCATGTCATTGCAAAACGGGAACAGTTCTGTTTCTTCTCTCTTCTCTGTGTACTTTCTGTTTCTTTTGTGTTATTACACTGTGGGGAACTTCTGGCACTATGTTGAGTAAGAGTGACAAGAGTGGACAATCTTGCCTTGTTCCTGATCTTGGGGGAAAAGCAGTCTTTCACCATTATGTATGATTAAAAAAAAAGAACTTTTTTTTTAAGTTTTTATTTCAATTGCAGTTAACATGCAGTGTAGTGTTAGTTTCAGGGGCACGATATAGTGACTCACCACTTCCACACACGCTGGGCGCTCATCACAGGCGGCCTCCTCCTCCTTAATCCCCATCACCTGTTTCCCCCGCCCCCTCCCTCATCTCCCCTCTGGTGACCATCAGTCAGTTCTCCGTAGCTAAGAGCCTGTTTCTTGTTTCGCCCCTCCCTTTTTCCTTCCCTTTGCTCGTTTGTTTCTTAAATTCCACATACGAGTGAGATCATATGGTATTTGTCTTTCTCTGACTTGCGTTGTATATGCTGTCTAGCTCTGTCCATGTGTGTCACTGCAAATGGCAAGATTTCATTCTTTTTTATAGTTAAGCAATGTTCCAGTGTTCACAGCAAAACTGGAAAATACGGAGACTTCCCATGTACTCTCTGCCCCCATTCGTTTGTAGCCTTCCCCATAATGAACATAAGTATGATTTGAGCTGTGGTGTTTTGTAGATACTTTTTTATCAAGTTGAAGTTCCCTTCAATTGCTAGTTTGCTGAGAATTTTTATCACATGTGAGTGCTGGATTTTGTCCAATTTTTAGAACATTTCCATCACGTATATGTTTATAGTTAGTCTTTGCTCTAGCTGTAGCAACCCCCAATCAACTTTCTGTCTCTATAGACATAGCTTTTATGGATATTTTATAAAAATGAAATAATCCAATATGTAGTCTTGTACGTCTGGTGTAATGCTTTGAAAGTTCATTTATGTTAACATGTGTCAAATTGCTCTTTTTATTGTACCACATTTTCTATATCTATTCACCAACTATGATAGGTATTTAGTTATTTCCAGTTTTTTGACTCTTTTGAGTACTACTGCTGTGAACATTCATGTACAAGTGTTCGTGTGGACATATATTTTAATCTTTTTTTGGGGAGATACGTAGGAGTGAAATTCCTGGGTCATATGGTAAATTTATGGTTAACTTTGTGAGAAACTGCCAAAATGTTTAACAAAATGAGTGTGCCATTCTACATTCTATCCAGCACTATGTGAAGGTGATACTTTTCCTGTATTCTTGCGAACACTTGGTATTGTTGCTCCTTTGAATTATAGCCATTTTAGTGGTATGTTGAAGTATCTCATTGTGGCTTTAATTTGCATTATCCTCATGTTGAGCATCTTTTCATGTGTTTATTATTCATTCATATATTTTCTTTGGTTAAATACCTATTCATGTCTTTTGCCTGTTTAAATCATTTTTTTGTCATTGAAACATATTTGACCCACAATGTTACGTGAGTTTCAGGTATATGATCTTTTGACTATTTTTAATTGGATGTTTATTTTTGTGTTGCAAGAGTTCTTTATATTTTCTACTCACAAGTCCTTTTTTCCTTGTACGATTTATAAATAATTTCTTTTAGTCTATGGCTTGCCTTTTTACTTTCCTAATGGTGTCTTTTGAAGAGTAAAAGTTTTAAGTTTTGATGAAGTTAAATTTACCATTTTTTAATGGGTTATGATTTTGTTATATCTAAAATATTTGCCTAACCCAAGGCCACAGAGGTTTTCTTCCAGAAATTTTACATTTAGGTCTGTGATTCATTTTGAGTTGTTATTATTTTCATTTCTTTGCATATGACTATCTAGTTGTTTTGTGATCATTTGTCAAAGAGACTGCTTTTTCCATTGAATTGCCTTGGCCCTTCAGTTAAAATCAGTTGCCATAAATGTTAATGTTTCATTGATCTGTATGTCTGTACTGATGCCAATACCACACTGGTTTGATTTCTGTAGCTTTCTAGTAAGTTTTTGTATTTTTTAATGCAATCAGGCAGTGTTAGTTCCCCTTTAACATTGTTTTTCTTTTTCAAAGGTTTTTTTTTTTTATTTCCATATGCGTTGTAGAATCAGATTATGATTTTGCCCAAAGAAGCTTGCTGAAATTTTGATAGGGATTGCATTGAATCTGTAGATCAGTTTGGGGTGATTACCATTTTACCAGTTTTGAGTTTTCCAGTTCATGAACATGGTATATCTTTCCATTGGTTTAGATCTTCTGTACTTTTTCTCAGTAATGCTTTGTAGTTTTTACTGTACAGGTCTTGAACTGCATTTCTTTTCTTTCTCCCCCCGCAATTCTTCTTATTTTCTTTTTTCAGTTTGTCATTTTGAAACTGGCCTTGAGGTGGGGTAGAGTAGTTTGAGCTGGCTGAATGTCTTTTTTTTTTAATTTTAATTTTTCATTTATTTATTTTTGAGAGAGAGAGCACACACGTGTGAGAGAGTGCACAAGTAGGGGAGGGGCACAGAGAGAAGGGAACAGAGGATCTGAAGCGAGCTCTGCACTGATAGCAGAGAGCCCGATATGGGGCTCAGACTCACGAAATGTGAGATCTGAGCTGAGCCGAAGGCAGATGTTTAACTGACAGAGCCATCCAGGCACCTCTTGAACTGCTTTTCTTAAGTGTATCCCTAAGTATTTTCTTACTTTTGATGTGACTGTGAATGGAACTACTTTCACTGAGTTTCTGTTTGATATTGTACTCTGTGTGCAGCCCTGTGTTGGGACATATCTGCCTGCAGCCACCAAATGTGACTGTAGTGAAGACTGTCCTGTCTGGTCATTCTCAGCAGTTACTGAGCAATCTTGTTAAAGAACCGTTATAACCAAACTAATTGGGATGCAGATTGCTTCAGCTAGAGAAGGGCTAGAGTCCCTAAAGCACATGCTTGATGTAGGTTTGCACACATCCCCATTACTTGAGTATGTTCAGCTGTAGACACTTGAAGAATGAATCTGTGAGTCCAGACTACTGTTAGAGTGCAGCTAGCGTTTGTCATCACCTAAGACACTGACATGCGTCATGGGTTCAGTGACCATCCTTCCCCTAGAGTGAGTGTGAATATATGTGCACATTTGTCTGAAACTCTGCATATGAAATACATCAGCCCCAGTAGATGTGAATGGCCACCCTACGCCAAATTATGATGTCAACAAAGTTTGATTTATGGCTCATTTCTCCCCCCCCCCCCCCCCCCCCCCGATTTGTCCTGCACTCACCTCTCCAAAAGAAAAACCTAAAACATCTAAAATACTTTAACTTGGAGAGTTGTTATTCTAATTATGCTTGGGTATAAATGTATTCAACTAGGTTTCTATACTTGTTAAGTTTATTCTTATTAAGTAGGGAAATGCTCTCACCTTTTGAGGGAACTTCAGGTAAAACAAATAGTGCAACCAGTGGTGGCGGTTGGGGAGGTCAGGAAGCCCTGTACTACCCAAGAGCTACCTGAAATGAACCTTCAGGACTGTTTGTGTGGTCAGAGGGAGTGTCAGGAGGAAGGTTCACTGTGAGGAGCCCCGGCTGAAACTTGCCAGCTCTGTTATTCAGAAGCTGCTGGTGGCCTCCATCTTGCTGTCCCACTGGTGCTTAGCTGGCTATGCACAGCGTGCCTGGAGGCCCTCTCTGCACTTCTCCCTGCTTCTGTCACATCTGTCCTAGCTGGGCTTGGCTGTGTCAGGCGGTGGTTTTCCAGTGGACTGAGCCCTCTGGAACCTTCCGGTCCACAGATACTGCTCTGTGGTGTCCCAGTCACCGTTGATTCTGGGTAGGGCCCCTTGAGCCCTGAGGCACCTTATGTTTCATTTTACTGGAAGATGAAGTCAAGTTTTGCGGTATTTATAAAGTCTAGCATAGCAGTATGTTCTTTTTTCAGAGTGTTGTCAATTTTTCCTCTCAAGTTTAAAAAGCTATAGATTGTAGCTGTTGAAGGACCAGTTTTCATTTGCCGACTGTTTCCTATAATTCTGTGTGCATTTTTTTCAGTCTTTGAGAAACACAATAGAGATATTTCAAGGTTGAATGCTAATCGTTTTATTGATTTTGCTTTGATTTTAGGAGAAGCTTGCTCTCCGACAGCAGCTGAACGAAGCAAAGCAGCAGCTCCTGCAGCAGGCCGAGTACTGCACGGCGATGGGGGCGGCGGCCTGCACGCTCCTGTGGGGCGTCTCCAGCAGTGAGGACGTCGTCAAGGCCATCCTGGGCGGAGTAAGTGTTGACCCGCGGCTCCCTGCACGTTGTCGATCTGTGTTTACGGAACATGGAGGGTACAGTGTGTCTGCTGAGGCACCTGTAGGTGAAATCCATGTCTTTTATTCACGCGTCAGGGGTTGGCACAGCCACTGTGCAGGGTCCAGGGTAAGCTGCTGCTCTAGGGCGTGTGCTGCTGCTCTAGGGCGTGTGCCAGGTCAGTGGAATAAGGTCCCTGGTCTCCCACAATCCCTGTAGTGTTTGTGCAGATAGGGCCACTTCAGGGTTGTTACTTGACATCTATACGCATTTAACAAAGTTTTTATTTAAAAAATTTTTTTCTTAATGTTGATTTTTGAGAGAGACAGAGTGAGCATGGAGGGGCAGAGAGAGAGGGGGAGACACAGAATCTAAAGCAGGCTCCAGGTTCTGAGCCATCAGCACAGAGCCTGACCTAAGGCTTGAACTCACAAATAAATTGTGAGATCATGACCTGAGTCGAAGTTGGACACTTAGATGACTGAGCCACCCAGGTGCCCTGCATTTAAAAAAGTTTAAAGTGCTTTTATATATGTTATTCCATGGATAACATAATAGTTAACTTGTTGAAAGTTATATGTTTAACATACCTATGTTAATAATACAAACGTGTGTATATACATTCACACACACACCCACCCACACACCCCAAGAGACTTCCCAGAGAAAAGAGATTTGAAATGGGCTTTGATTAACTTGAATAGGTGGCAGTGACAGAAAATGGCGAGCTCAGGAGAAGAGAGAAATAGCCTAATCAGAAGCGCGGGGTGAGCAGTCTGAGCTTGTTTTAGGGCCTGTGTGGGCCAGTTGACACAGAGTGGAGGAGTAGTGTGGTAGAGTCGTGGTGAGATGAGGCCCCGGAAGTAGCGTGGAATGTGATTTTGAAAGACCTCAAATGCCAGGTCACAGATTTTATCGGGTGGGTGGTAAGACTAGAGGTTTTGAGTAAAAGAGTGGTGGGGCAGGGGACCTTGGGAAGACTGTCCTGACTGTGAGTGAGGATAGATGGGAGGCGGGCTGTGGGCGTGGAGGTGGGGCAGGAAGGCCAGCGCCACGCTCCCTGTGGCGGCTCCGGCAGCGCCTGGCACGGGGCAGGGGCAAGGGGTGGGGGGACTCTGTGCCTGAGGCAGGCGTGGTGCCAGAGGACCAGACGGGCCAGGGAGGCCGTGGCTGCCCTTGAGGAGAGTGGGGTGGCCCTGAACAGAAGTACAAGTCAGGGATGTCTGGCGGGGGCCCAGCCATAAATTACTTATGACTTAGAGAATACACATCCCGTGTGACTTTAGGTGGAGAGATGGTTGTATTTTCACCTTTATTGTTGTGTAACTTACGTACCGTATAATTCACCCATTTGTGAGCATACAGTTCGGTGGTTTTAGCTCATTTCCAGAGTTGTGTGATCATCACCACAACCCAGTCTGAGAACACTTGTATCAGCCCATGAAGCTGCCTCGTGCCGTCCGTGAGCGCGTTGGCTTTTCAGCTGCTGCCTAGCGCCCAGCACCCCCAGGAAGCCCTTCCAAACGTTCTGCAAACTGGGAGATACTGTTGGCCACGTCCTGAAGATTTATTAGACTGCCAGACAGGCCTGCTCACTGCCTTCATCTCTGGACAAGTTGAAGTTTCTGTTAGGACTGTATTTGAAAATCGGTTCTCCAAAGGTTGAAACCTGTGGTTTCGTGCCTAGAAGCAACAGAACACACTTCTCTAGCCGTCCCTGGTGTGTGCTGGTGAGCCCGCCCCGAAGCTTCCACCACTGTGTAAATTTGAACTGTTCCCTCACATGTATTTTATTTTACTCTTTCTGTCAGTCTGCAGGGTAAGTTTCCTGCAGTTTCCAAACTTCCTTTTCCTGGTCATTTCAATGGGAGCTTGGAATGAAGGAGCAGACTTCTAAATACTGTGTCTGTGATTAGAACGAGTGTGTCTTCTGCGCCCTCACACGCTTAGACTATTTTGTACTGGTATCGGTGCAAAGGCGTGATGCTTTCATTTCCAAACTTTCAGGATAAAGCTTTGAAGTTTTTCAACATCACTGGTCAAACAATGGAGAGTTTTGTGAAGTCACTGGATGGGGATGTCAAGGAGCTCGATTCTGATGAAAATCAGTTTGTGTTTGCTTTGGCGGGGATCGTAACAAGTAAGTACTTCTTAGATGCACTGAGCTGATAGCGGTGTGCCTGGAGTGGTGATGACAGCCAGGGTGGAGGCATGTGCAGGAACGTCTCCCAGGAACTTTCTAGATGCCCTGTGGTTCTTACCCTGGAGAGTCTGGTTCAGTGGGTCTGGGATGGGCACCAGGTGCGGGTATTGTGGAGCCTCCCCCAGGGGATGGTGGTAAGAGTCGGTGAGGAAGGTGACCGATCTCAGCAACAGGATGAGTCTGCATGTTCCGTTCAGCTCAGCACACGGAAAGAAGTCAAAATAAAACTTTTAAGTTTAGCTGCTTGTTGTTTGGAGATACCTTTGTTTTGCTGATGTCTAGCTGAAGTAGAACCTTCAGTTAAGTGTAAGTGACAGCTCTTGCTGTTGTTTGGGTACGAAACCTAAATTGTTTCCCAAAGATTGTAGTTATTCTTATGATGCAAATATACGACCCAATGACTGTAAGGGATAAAGCCGAAGGACTACATAACTGATACGTCATATCTGAGTACAGTGGGAAGTGATATATACCGGTGAGTCTGAAGTCAGTAAACTAGTTAGACGTGTTGCCGTGACCATTAGTTTTGTTCTTTACAATTTTACTCTGTTACATTGCTCTGTCCTCCTTGCTCTATCGTGTGCTACTCTGAGGGTAATTCTCTGCTGTTAAAGAGAGAGGAAATCTTCTTTTCCTCATGGTGTCATCCTTCATCTACTGAAATCCTAGTGACTTAGATCCTGTTTAGACATTTTCTTCATAATTCCTCAAAAATTGGTGATACTTTTTTGAGGTGGATTTTGAGGCTCAGATGGTGTCTGGGCCAGTCCTGACTTAGCCCAGTCCTTTTCCAGGACAGCACTGCACGCTTCCAACATCGCACCTTTGGGTGGAGGGGGCTTGCGTTGCTCTAACTTTTAATGTTTCAAGATTTCTTTTTAAACCAACCGAAGGCATTTGCAGACTTGGTGACTGGACTCTCTGCTATTTTCAGGGGACCATAAAGGTCTGTGATGGATATGGTTTGTCATTCTGCTATGTTGTGAATCTGAGTTGCTCGAATTACTGGCTAGTGTGTGGGGGTGAGGCAGTTGGCCAACAGGTAAACCAGCCTGTTGTCCGACATACAAACTCAACTTGGCTTTGTTTTTTCCTGCTTGGAGTGGCTCACATGGGAACTCACAAAGAGAAAGCATGCACTTATATTTTCACTTACATGCTGGTGAATTTTACTGGGAAGATTACTTTCTACAGTGGTGCTTTATTAAAATGCTGCTTTGCAGAGGCCGTGGGGGCTTAGGAATCTACCTCCCTCTGTTCCATGGGGAGTAGGCAGTATAGTAGAGACCTTGACCTAGCTATCAGGTAGATCTTTTGCCTTCTAAAACAAGGATTTTTTTCAAAAAATTTACACACAGTTGGTATTTTGATAGGGATTCATTAATTGTGTATATTGCTTTGGGTGGCACGCACATAGTAACAATACTTGTCCTTCCAGTCCATGCGTGTGGAATGTCTTTCTATTTCTTTGTTATTTTCAGTTTCTTTCGTTAGTGTTTTTATAGTTTTCAGAGTACAGGTCTTTCATCACTTTGGTTAAGCTTATATTTCTGTTTTTGGTGCAGTTGTAAATGGGATGGATTCCTTAATTTCTCTTTCTGCTACTTCATTATTGGTGTATAGAAATGCAACAGATTTCTATACATTAATTTTGTATTCTGTGACTTGACTGAATTCATTTTTTAGTTCTAGCAGTATTTTGGTGGAGTCTTTCAGGTTTTCTGTATAGAACATCATGACATTTTTCACAGAGCTAGAACAAACAATCCTAAAATTTGTATGGAACCACAAAAGACCCCAAATAGCCAAAGCAGTTTTGAAAGAGCAAAGCAAAGTGGGAGGCATCACAATTCCAGATGTCAGATTATATTACAAAGCTGTAGTCATCCAAACAGTATGGTATTGGCACAGAAACAGACACATTGATCAGTAGAACAGAACAGAAAACCCAGAAATGGACCCACAACTATATGGTCAACTCATCTTTGACAGAGCAGGAAAGAATATCCAATGGGAAAAAACCATTCTCTTCAACAAATGGTGCTGGGAAATCTGGATGGTGACATGCAGATGAATGAAATGGACCACTTTCTTACATCATAAACAAAAATAAGTTCAAAACGGATGAAAGACCCAAGTGTGAGATGGGAAATCATCAGAATCCTGATGGAGAGGTGAACACAGGCGATAACCTCTTTGACCTCGGCCATAGGAACTTCTTTCTAGACATGTCTCCAGAGGCAAGGGAAACAAAAGTAGAAATAAACTATTGGGATTTCATCAAGATAAAAAGCTTCTGCACAGTGAAGGAAACAATCAACAGAACTAAAAGGCAATTTGCTGAATAGGGGAAGATATTTTCAAATGACATTTCTGATAAAGGGCTAGAATCCAAAATCTATAAAGAACTTATCAACACCCAAAACATGAATAATTCAATTTAAAAAATGGGCAGAAGACATAAACAGATATTTTTCCAAAGAAGACACCCAGATGACTAACAGACACATGAAAAGATGCTCAACATCATTCATCATCAGGGAAATACAAATCAAACCCACAGTGAGATAACACCTCACACCTGTCAGAATGACTAAAATCAACAACAGGAGAAACAGCAGGTGTTGGTGAGGCTGTGGAGAAAGGGAAGCCCTCTTGCACTGCTGACGGGAATGCAAACTGGTGCAGGCACCAGGCACTCTGGAGAACAGTATGGAGGTCCCTCAAGAAGTAAAAAATAGAACTACCCTACGACCCAGTAATCACAGTACTAAGTATTTACCCAAAGAATACAAAAATAGTAACTCAAAGGGATATGTATACCCCCATGTTTATAGCAGCATTATTTATAATAGCCAAACTATGGAAATAGCCCAAGTGTCCATCGAATGATGAATGGATAAATAAGACGGGATATTACTCAGCCATAAAAAAGAATAAAATCTTGCCATTTGCAATGACATGGATGTAGCTAGACCATATAACACTAAGGGAAAGATACCATATGATTTCACTCACATGTAGAATTTGAGAAACAGCAAATGAGCAAAAGCAAAAGAGAGTGGCAGAGAAACACTCTTAACTATAGAGAACAAATTGATGGTCGCCAGAGGGGAGGTGGGGGGATGGGGGAAATAGGTGATGGGGATTAAGGAGAGCAGGGCACTTGAGATGAGCACCAGGTAACGTATGGAAGTCTTGAATCACTGTATTGTATGCCAAAACTGGTATTACACTGCATGTTAACTGGAATTTGAATAGCAACTTGAAATTTAAAATTTACATACCATAAACTCTCCCCTTACAGATTGCTTTTCTACTTGCTGTTTTGTGACTTTCCATTAACTCTGGCAAACCTCTGCCACCTTCCTTTCGTAGTCAGGGTCCCCTCTGCTCACTGTCAGCCCCAGGTGGCCGCTGACCCAGCAGTCTGTTGAAAGTTTTGGCTGAGTTTTTCTTGCTGGCCCTTATGGCATCCAGTGTTTGCTCCAGGTGAGAAGTGCTTGCCTTGCACCTCTGCTGGGAGTCCCTGCCTTTTCCGGTTTTTCGTTAGTTGGTTGATCTCTGGCATCAGCTCTCTAATCACCTCACTTGAGGTCCTCAAACAAGGACAGTCGCTGACTTTGCTCAGGGCTTGGCAGGGTGACGTCTGCTCTGTGCTGCTCGGGGCCTCGGCTGCGGCGGCCTGACTTGCAGAGGCTCGAACAGCTGGGGGCTCACCCAGTGTCATTCTCTTCTCTCCCTCCGCATGTGGTCCCAGGGCATCTCTGTGTACTCTCTGGTCTCCGCATTGTGGCAGCCTCAGGACAGTTAGATTTCATTCTTAGCGACTCTGGGCTTCTAGAGGAAGTGGCACGAGACTGAGGTGCAAGGCGTCAGGCTCCTTCCTGCCTTGCCTTGACAGGCACAGTGTCAGTTCCGCCACATGCTGCTGGTTACACGTGAGCCACAGGGCGGGGACGACTCCAGGGTGTGCACGCTGGAGGCGTGGTTTGCTGGGGGGTCGTCTCTGGGAACTGGCCTCTGAAGTACGCAGCGAGAATAGATGTCTTCCTGTGGGGTTTCCAGGAGGGGGTTTCCTGTAGTTACGTGAAGAAGGTTTTCCTCTGAAAAAAACTACCTTAAAATGACTTTCTAGGAGTTTATGATGCCAAATGCTTAAAGCTTCAGTTTCTCGGGGCGCCTGGGTGGCTTAGTCGGTTAAGTGTCCGACTTTCGCTTAGGTCATGATCTCGCGGTTCGTGGGTTCGAGCCCCGCGTCAGGCTCTGTGCTGACTGCCAGCTCAGAGCCTGGAGCCTGTTTCAGTCTGTGACTCCCTCTCTCTCTGACCCTCCCCTGCTCACGCTGTCTCTCTCTCTCCTAGAAATAAATAAAACATTAAAAAAAATTAAAAAAAAAAATAAAGCTTCAGTTTCTCCCTAAATCTCTCTTTATTAAAATTAGAGTGTGTCATACACTAGAAAATATAGTTGTCACGTTCAAATTCATTGAACACAGAAGGTAAGTTTGTGTCGGTGAAGGGTCTCATCTTCAGTAAAGTTATAGCTGTCGTGAGATGATATACCAAATAACATAGCATCGATTTATGAGGCAAATTTTGATGGAAAGGCAAGCAGAAGTGGGGGAAAAGTCTGTTAGGTCCAGTAGACTTTAATATGCCTCTCTTGATTCTTCTTTTTATTTTATTTTTTATTTTTTAATGTTTATTTCTGAGAGAGAGAGAGAGTGTGAGCAGGGGAGGGTCAGAGAGAGAGGAAGACACAGAATCTGAAGCAGGCTCCAGGCTGTGAGCTAGCTGTCAGCACAGATCCCGACGCGGGGCTCAAACCCACGAACCATGAGATCATGACCTGAGCCGAAGTCAGACGCTTAACTGAATGTCCAGGATCTGATTCCACAAATTTGATCTGGTAACACAGATAAAATGTCATATCCTGAAATTTTATATTCCACCATCAGCTTATAGTTAATCATAGGCAGAACAAGTAAGTGGTAAAATTCATCCTCCATTCTTGCTAATTATCAGCCAACTAAATATAGAAGAAAACTTCTTAAACTAGTAAGGAAGTGATCACAGGATCACATAGCAGACGCCGTGTTTAGGAAGCATTCCCGTTAAAGCCGGGGAGGACTGGGCTCCCGCCCTGCTTCTGCTCCGGTTTGGCCTGCTTCTTTGAGTTAGGAATTTAGTTACTGTGAATTGTGCTTTATCGTTAGCCCTACCTAAAGAAAAATCTTACCAACACGCACGACATACACTTGGAGCATCGACGTATCCTTGTGGGTATTTGCCAGTGTGGATAGAGCCTGGAGGAGCTGTGGCAGTGTCCTGTAGGAGCCGGGGCAGTCACCGGCTCTGATCTCCATGCTGGATTTGCAACGCCTCAGGCATGAAGAAACATCCTTGCTGACCCACAATAGGGTGCAAAATTGAGAAAAAGAGGTTTTTCAGGGCCAGTGTTCATGCTGTTTTTTGATCTCATGATTTCAGTTTGGTATCGTGCTTCAAAGTCCTTAGGATTTCGCTCCCATTGAAGGTGGATTTTAGCATCTTTCTTTGGTCCCAGACAAAGCAAGGCCCATCCACTTTCTGTTTGGACCCTGACTGCTCACTGTTGAGTCCGGGACTCTGGAGCAGGTGTCCACCTGCCGTGCTGTGGCCAGGCAGCAGACGTGCTTAGGTTCCAGTGCTTGGTGCCACTGCAGAGGCATCTGCTAATCACCGGGGACATGGCTAAGCATCTTAGTAACTGTCGTGCTCGTTACTTACAGTTTCTGGGCTGTCAGCTCTGTGGACGACACTGTTTGGTAATACCTCATGGGCTGCTCTATGTTTTTGTTAGGTCTCTCAGGGGAAAAACAGCAAAAAATACAGTCTTGACCAGACCCTTCCAGACTCTGAAGTAACAGTAATTTTGATGCTTCGTTTTATCTTTCTGTTGCAGATGTTGCTGCCATAGCATGTGGTCGAGAATTCTTGGTTAATTCAAGCCGGGTGCTGTTGGACACCATTCTGCAGCTTCTGGGAGACTTGAAGCCAGGACAGTGCACCAAACTCAAAGTGTAGGGTAGACGATATTAAAAAGCTCATATTTATTTGCCTATTCGTTAGAATTTGATGATCGGGCTTCTTTTTCAAGTACAGTTACTTTGGCAATAATCTAAACAAAATAGAAGAAACATGTTGTTTGGAGAATTAAGGGATGCACTCTTTGTGTAGTACTATTTTAGAAAAATAATAAAAAGAGTATTCTCACCTTAGAGCAATCAGTGAGTCCCAAATGCTGTCATGTGACACTTTAGGGTTCTCTTAATTACCTCAAAATGAACTTAAATAGGTGATGGTTATCGCAGTGTCCTACCTCCCGGTAGCAAAATCTGCCTTTGTTTTCTCCTGGGTAACACATTTAATGGCTCAAACAGCACCTGCTTCACAGTCCTATGGGTCAGGAGTCCGAGAGAGCTCACCTGGGCTCCTGACCTGGGCCTCGCATGGCCAGAACGAAGGTGCACGCAGGCTGGGCTCTCTTCCGGAGGGTCTGGAGGACCCACTCGGGGCACATTCAGGTTGCTGGTGAATCCAGCTCCCTGCACGGAGGACTCAGGTCCTCGTTTCCTCGCTGGCTGGCCTGTGCAGTCTTCTCAGCTTCCCGGGCTGACGGAGTTTCTGATCCCGTGAGCCTCCTGTCTTCCAGCTCCAGCAGCGCACTGAGTCCTTACACTTGGACGCTCTCAGGCTTCCTCTTCTCCTAGTGGCTGGAGAAAATGCTCTGCTGTGGATGGGCTCGGAGGTGTAGCTTAGGCATGACTGGATAGACTCCCTTTTGATTAACCGAAAGTCACTCTGTTAGGAACCTCAGGTCTGCTGAGACCCTCTGCCGTGTAACTTAACACGACCAGGGTGTTCTGTGTTCAGCCTGGGTTTTAGGGCAGGAGATCTCGGGCCATTTTAGGAGTCTGCCTACTACACTGTGCATTCTGAGCAGTTGCTTTTCCTCCGTGGAACATTGAAGTCTTTGTCAGATACTTTCATCGTCTCTGTCATGTTGGCCTGGTGTCTTGGTTATCTTTTCCCACGTGAGGTGGGATTTTTCCTGTTTCTTTGTGTGCTAATTTTGGGTTGTACTGTGGATATTTGAATATTATGTTTTGAAACCCCGGTTCTTGTTTAAACTGTGGAAAATGTTGATGTTTCTGTTTGAGCAATCAGCCTGGTTGGGTCCAAGTGATGGGTTGTCACTGGCCTCCTCTATATTGTGTGTTCAGTGTCATTCCCAGTTTCAGAAAGCCTTCGCAGGACGGTTAGGTCTGCCCCTCCCGTGTACCACCCGCGCCAGCCTGGGACCTGGGTGATCACTGGCAGTTCAGTTCTCAGGCTGGGATATGCTCCTTCTGATTAGATTCATATGTGCCTTGTTTGGCGTGAAGCCGGGGGCCACCTTGTGGGGCCACTTGCCTGAGCTCTTTAACTCCCATAGTGTGCTTGGTGCTTGTTAGGTACCCAGGGCTCCCCTTCCAGTCCTTTGCCTGAGTGCTGGGGCCCCGTGTGCCCCGCCGTGTCCTGGGCTTCTGCAGCTGTGCCCACAGCAGGGCTTCAGAGGGTCACAGTTCCTTCTGGTGGTGAGGACGAGTTCCTTCCCACATAGTTGGAGTTATTTGGAGGCCGCGCTGCCAGCAGAGCCCCTTTCTACTGCTCGAGCCCGCGCATGAGGCCTTCCGGTGTGGAGCGCCTTCCTGTGCGAGTCAGGGCCACGCCTGCGCTTCGGGGCTGAGTGGTAAACTCTCTGCTTGTTTGGAGGTTCTCGTAATTCTGGACTTTTCCCATTCTGTCTGCTGCTGTTGTCTTTTCAGGCCTTCACATAGCTGCTTCGTGTGTTCTTTTTGGAATCCATAGCTGCGCTCCGTGGGACCGAGAGGGTGGGGTGTGTTCACTCCCATCTTATCTGGAACCAGGTTCTTGAGTCTATTCTAGTATTTGACACTAACAAGTATATGACCATGAGCAATACATATAAGACAACATCACATATAACTTACATAGTTTTGTATATATTTTTACAAGTTGTCTGTGTATGTAGTTAATTCCTTTTAAATATACCAAGAAGATGTAACATTTGGATTGTCTTATCCCAGATTGATGGACGTTAGGTTATTTTCAGGTTTTACTCTGCAGATGTAATAAGTGTAGTGAACATCTTTGGCAAATATCTGCTTGCTAACCTATGTGAAGGCTTCTCTAGGAGTTTTCCCAGAAGTGCCATATTTGAGAGATAAGGCATGCATGCTTCCAGTTTGATAAGATGCGCCCAAATGAGTCACCAAAGTATAGACTTCCACCAACAACGGCACCAGTGGTCCATGCCTCCCACACCCTCCTCGGCACTTCAGTTTATTCTTTTCTTACAAAGATATTTGTATTATCTACATCCATCTGTCTGCCTGTCTTTAGATGTATATTACTGGTAAGGTTGAAACTCTTTTCACTGTTTCATTACATTGTTTTTCCTGTGAATTACCTGTTCATGTCTGTTACCTGTTTCCTTTTGGGTTGTTTTTTTTGTAACAACTTACTGTCTTTTATGTGTTCTGGATACGACACCATTGTCTCTCTTGCCTCTGTGGTCTGTATAGGTCAGTGTTTGGGGGGCCAGTTAGCCCCCTGCCCCACTTCCGAGGCAAAGCTTTACATGGGGGTTTGTGTCTTCTAGTCTCTCTGCTTCCAGTGTGTGAAGCTCTGGGCCTTTGCATGTTAGGCAGCCCCTGTCCTGCACGGAGAGACGGGCAGACTTGTGTTCAGACATGTTCGCTTGCTCTCTTGGCAGTTTTCCACCTGACAGGGAGCAAAGCCCGCGGATAGACTGTTCACCTCAGAGCCGCTTGGGATCGCAGCCTGCACTGGCCTTAAGCAGGTCTCCTCACGTTACCATCTCTGGCTGCCTTCTGATTGCATGCCGTTTGTTCATGCTTTTCCTCACTGCTGACTCATGACCTTGAGTCCTCTGGAACCAGGACCTTTTTTTGGACTGTAAGTAAACTTTCCTTTTTGGCCCCTCTCTGTCTTGACTGTAACTTGCCTCTTTCCTGGAAAGTTTGCTTTCCTTTCCACTTCTGTGATTAATGGCTACTCATTTTCAGCAGCTTGGGTGCCTTAGACCCAGAGATGGGGATTTTTTTTTTAAAGACGTAAATCTTTTAGAGCAGTTTTAGTTTCACAACGAAATTTACTGGAAAACACAGAGATTTTCCATCTACTCTGTGTCGCCACACGTACATAGCTTTTTCCACTATTAACATCACTCACTGGAATGTTACTTTTTTTTTTCTTTTGCCACCAGTGAACCTTCACTGACACACCATAGTCACCCAAAGAACGTAGTTTACCTAAGTTTACTCTCGGTGTTGCACATTCTGTGGATTGGGGCTGGTGTGTTAGAGCATATATTCATGAATAGTATACAGAGTTACTTCTGCCGCCCTAGAAATCTTCTGTGTTCTACCTGCTCCCCTCTCCTGCCCCGGCCCCTGGCAACGAGTGATCTTTTTATTGTCTCCACGGTTTTGCCTTTTCCACAGTGTCATACAGTTGGAAGGCTTCTCAGACTGGTTGCTTTTACTTAGTAATATCCTTTTAAAGTTCTTCCATATCTTTTCATGGCTTTGAGTTTTTTAAGAGTTCTTTGTATATTTTGGATAATACTCTTTTATCAGATGTGTGATTTGCAGATATTTTCTGTCAGTCTGTGTCTTCTTAGTCTCTTGGCATGGTCTTTCACAGAGTAAAAGTTCTTAATTTTAATGCAGTCTGGCTTATCAATTTTTTTTTTAAGGGACTTTGGTGGTTTGTCTACAAAAGGCAGTCCCGTGGTGTGGGTCATAGATGTTCTCCTGTGTCACACCCCGGGAGCCGTAGGGTATTTCATTTTACAGTTAGGTCTGTGATTCACTTGCAGGTAATTTTTGTGAAGGGTGTAATGTCTGCGTCTAAGTTTTTTTTTGTTTTTTTTTCGTGTGGATATCCAGTGTTCCAGTACCACTTGTTGAAGAGAGTGGCTTTGCTCCCTTGTATTGCCTTTGCTCCTTTGTTGAAGATCATTTAACTGTATTTATGTGGATCTATTAATGAGCTCTTTATTCTGGTCCATTGATGTATTTCTTTTCTTTCTCCAGTACCAAATTGTCTTGATCACTGTGGTCAGGTGATGTCAGTCCTACAGCTTTGTTCTTCAGTATTAAGTAGGCTGTTTCCTGGGTCTTTTGCCTTTCCATATACACTTAGAGTCAGTTTAGTAATAGCCACAAAATATCTCACTGGGATTTTTCTTTTTTTTGCCTTGAGTTTTGACTTTATTTTATTTTATTCTGAAATAGTTTATTGTCTAGTTGATTTCCACATAACACCCAGTGCTCATCCCCACAAGTGCCCTCCTCCATGCCCATCTCCCCCCTTCCACCCCCATCAGTCCTCAGTTTGTTCTCAGCATTCAGGAGTCTCTCATGGTTTGCCTCCCCCTCCTCCCCAACTGTTTCCCACCTTCTTCTCCCCCATGGTCCTCTGTTAAGTTCCTCCTAATCCTCCTATACGTGCAAATATATGGTATCTGTCCTTCTCTGTCTGACTTATTTCGCTCAGCATAACACCCTCAAGGTCCATCCATGTTGCTACACAGGCCAGATGTCATTCTTTCTCATTGCCATGTAGTATTCCATCGTATAGATAAACCACATCTTCTGGATCCGTTCGTCTGTTGATGGACGCTTAGGCTCTTTCCATGTTTTGGCTATTGTTGAGAGTGCTGCTGTGAACATTGGGGTCCATGTGCCCCTGTGCATCAGCACTCCTGTGTCCCTTGGGTAAATTCCTAGCAGTGCTATTGCTGGGTCCTAGGGGAGTTCTATTGTTAATTTTTTGAGGAATCTCCACACTGTTTTCCAGAGGGGCTGCAGCAGTTTTAAATATTTCTCTGTCCTCTCTCCGTGCTCACATGGCTTCTGTAGAGAAGCTGCCGTCATCTCGTCTCTGGTCCTATGTAGGTGAGGTATTCTTTTCTCTGGCTCCTTTCAGG